GATGTTTTTTTTTTTTTTTTCTTTTGACGGACTCTCGCTCTGTTGTCGAGGCTGGAGTGCAGTGGTGAGATCTTGGCTCACTGCAACCTCCGTCTCTCGGGTTCAAACAATTCTCCTGCCTCAGCCTCCCGAGTAGCTGCGATTACAGGCATGCGCCAAGATACCCAGCTAATTTTTTTTTATTGTTAGTAGAAACCAGGGTTTACTGTGTTGGCCAGGCTGGTGTTGAACTCCTGGCCTCGAGTGATCCGCCCGTCTCAGCCCCACAAAGTGTTGGGATTACAGGCGTGAGCCACCGTGCCTGGCCTGTTAATTGATTCTTAACCCTGCTCTCAGACAGCTAGGCTTGCTTCCCCACAATAAGAGTGTTGAATCTTGTTGGTGTACCCCACATGGTGCCATTATAACCCTGAAATTAGTGATTATTTCAGAGTCTGTTACCAGAGCATGTCTGCCATATTCACTGTATCTGTAGCTTGGAGCACAATAGACTGGAATGCTTGCATGCTAGCTCTTCCCCTGTACAGCCTGGATTAACACATTAATGCTAGCAGCCTCCTTCGAACAACTGATTAGCTTTTGTAACTACTATAGCTTTCTTATCTGCTAGTCATTCTGTGATTGGATTAAGCTAGGTCTTGAACTCCTTAACTCCAGTTCCTTGGCTACTACTGAGTACATACTGAATAAGGCAAAATTGACTTACCTCTTTTTGTTTTGCTCCCCTGTGGTAGAATTCTAGGGGTGCAGACTGCTGGGGTTCACATCCCGCCCTACTTGCCAGCTGTATGGCTAAGTTATTGAACTTCTTGGTGCCTTGGTGTTTCATCTATAAAAAGGGAGTGGGGCTACCTGCTCCACAGGGGTGTTAGGAAGACTGAGCTTATCGGTATAGATGTGTTGAGAGCAGCACCTGTCCAAAGCCCTTCGTCACCTGTTAATTTTGTGGTCCTGTGTATACAGTGGGGATGCTGTGGGTTTGGTTCCAGATTACCGCAGTAAAGTGAATCTAGCAAGAAAGTGAGTCACACACGCATTTTGGTCCCAGTATGTGTAAAAGTTATTAGACTAGGCCGTGTGCAGTGGCTCATGCCTGTAATCCCAGGACTTTGGGAGGCGAGGCAGAAGGATCGCTTGAGCCAAGGAGTTCAAGACTAGCCTGGGCAACATAGGAAGGCCCCCACCCCCATTTCAAAAAAAAAAAAAAAAAGCCAAAAATGGTGGCATGCTCCTGGGGTCCCAGCTACTCAGGAAGCAGAGGTGGGAGGATCACTTGAACCCATGAGGTCGAAGCTGCAGTGAGCCATGATTATGCCACTGTACTCCAGCCTGGGCGACA